CTGAAAACAACAGGAGCAGGTAAATTGGGTAATATCCAAATTAGTATCTTGGATTTTATTGCTGGCTCCCATGGTTTTTTGATAATTGCGATAATATCTCCCAATCAATTAACCGATAAATCCGTCCTGCCCCTGGCTTCCTTTGGATAGTAAATAAATATTGCTTTTTTCAATCTTTCTTTAATTCTCACTGTTCTACTTTTTGCCAAATCTCACCTCTCTTTAAATATTCCTTAAAAACCAATATCTCCCTTTCTTCCTCTTCCGACTTTACTTTTAATCTTCAATATTGATTTCCTCAATAGGGTGATTTCTTATTTTTAACTCGATCTAATTTCTTACTTTTGATAATTACAATTAATTCTTGATGCTTTTCCATAGTTATAAAAATTGTCTAATTTTTCGTTTCTGGTTCGGTATTTTTCTCGGTCCCGACACAATTTACACTTACCCTCTCGATATTCAAACTTTTTCTCTTCCATTTCCTCGGTTAATAATCCAGGTCGATTAGTAGCAATTCAATCAATAATTCAAGCATTTCACTCATCCTCCTCTAATTTTCGACCTAGTTTTTGCTCTTCTTGGTTTCGATAACCTAACTGGGTTAATTCCTTATTTACTGAACCCCAACAAGCAGCCACATAGCCCACATTACAAAACTTAACTTTAATCCCCTTATTTTCAGCAAACACAACTAAACTTTCCCTAAATAATTGTAAATCAGCATTACAATCACATCCTAAATAGTAAATATTTCCCATTTCAATAACCACTTCTTCAACACAATTAATTCAACTAGTTAAATAACGATAACTTTCTGGAACGGAAGGACTTCAAAAATGTTCTAATTTTTTTTTACCATAAAAATTAAGGCAAATTCCGATATTACCTTTATCAGCTGGGTCAATGCTTAATCTTCGGTGTTTTATCTCCATTATCGGGGTTGTAAAAAGGCTCCGTTCCGACCAGACTTTAAGAGATAAATGTTAGGGCGATTGCCAATATTTTCATCTAAAAAATATTCTTTTATTCCCTTACTCTCGGGATTGAATAATACTGAATAATCCTGCTCGTTTTCATCGGTTAAAATTATTTGCTGGTAAGTTCCGTTTTCCAACTCTAATTCTCGGTTTATCCTACTTTTGACAACTTTAATTTCTCATCTTTCACCTTCTTTTCTTTGGGGAATGGTTGGAAGTTTGAGGGGTTGAGTTGGTTTTAGTTTATCTTCTTCAAAAAATTTCCATCTTTGCAGATGGAAATCCAAAGAAAGTTGCAAAAGTTTAAAGTTAAAAGAGGAGCCATCACTTTTTAAGAACTGAACTAATAATTGTTTCTGATAAGGATGGACGGCATTTAAAATTAGGTGCTTTTTTTCTCCAAAAGGTTCATCAGTAAAGTTAACTTGTCAAGGGTCGTAGTCAACTTTCTTCTGTTCGGATAATTGTCTAATTCCTAAAATTGATAAGCGAGTATCAGTTAAATCATTGCGACTATCTCTAACAATAGATCGGTCTTGCTTTTTTTCGGGTAGTTGGTTCGTAAAATGAAAACCAAATCGAGCATAGATTTTAGCATAAGCCCCTTTTTTTGTTTCAGGGGTTATAAATCTAAATCCTCTTCTTTTACGAGGAGGCTTCTTGTCTTGCTCTCTCTTCCATTTCTTCCATCTTTTCAAAAATTCCTCGGTTAATTCTGGTAAGCGATCTTTACTTAGTGGATGGACTACACCTTGACCTTTACCCCGTGGTTCTCCACATCTTTCCTTGTTATAGTTGGTCGATTTAGAGCAATAGTAAAGATTAGAGCCATTAATGGCCTCCTTTCCTCTAATTCTTCGATGTTGGATTTGCCGACCTCCTGATGGAGAGGGGATTAATGGTAAACCTAAATAATCGCCTAACTTTTTAAATTGTTGAAGGGCTTCCGTTCTTCATGGTTGCCGTAATTGTTGCTCCTCGTTTTTGGCTACATCTATTTCCGGAGTAAAATAATTGTCCGTTTTTAAAAAAACTCTTCCATCCCTAATCAGTCAGTAAGACAAATCCCTTTTTTGGTAATGAGGGCTTTTATAAGTATAATGAGGGACTTTGGGATTGCCTTGGCAAGGGGTAGACAATCAGCATTGGCTCGGGTCTTGCTTGTGCTTATCGGCTAATCAGTTCGGCAATAGTCTAACAAACTCCCAAGGTTTAGTTTGCCCGTAGTAGATGATTAATCAATCGAAATATTCAAAAGCCGTTTTAAAAAGTAGAGGTTTTTTAAGTAAAAGTTCTGAAAGTTTGGTTTGATAGTGAAAAAAAAGGTATTTGAAAAGGTAAAAATTGTTCTTGTTAGAATAATCAACGATAATTTGCTTTCTTTTTTTACTTTCGCCAGAAAAAGTATTCGAGGGGTTGTTTTTGTCGTCAAATTGTAAAGAGTTGTTAAGGAGAGGGTTATTATTATTTATTCCTCCCCAAATGGGCAATTAGGTCGGGAATAAATGATATTTTTGGTTAGAGGTAATTTTATTCCTCCTTTTTTGTGTTTGAAAGGTGGGTAA